TAGAGTTAAATATAATGTTAGTTTTTTCATAAATTTTTAAAAATCAAATTGAGAAAATTTCCTGCTATCCTATTTTTCTTAGTTTTTACCATGAATGGGTATTGAATTTTGATCAAATGCTTTTTCTGTATCAGTTGATACACACTTGTGACTTTTCCTCTTGAGTTTATTAATGTGATGGGTTACATTGGTTGATTTGTGAACAGCAGGCATTCTGATACTATCTCATTTTAAAGTTTGTTTATAAGGAATAGTATCTTAATCATGTGACCCTATTTTGTGGGGAGAGAATGTGGATAAGAAGCTGGAGTTCTTTCAGCAAAGAGCATGTAGCTCAGTCCACCTCACTGAATGCAGTTCCTTTTTTCTCCCTTCCACCTACTCTCTACTAAATCCAGAGGTCAGGAAAATGCTGCTAGCTTGACAACTGCCTAATCCCCTTGAGACTGGTCATCAGACAGTATACCATGGAGTGTGGCCACTGTGAAACTTGTGTTTATGGGAGCACACTCACCAGTCACCACTTCTCAGAGAGACTCACTCCACTTCTGCATTCCAGATCGCACATGCGTGTATTTTATTAGCAGAAGCTAAATCCCATCTAGATCCCTAGCAGAAAGGAAGTTGGGAAAATATGGTTTTATGCCATCCCAGCCCCTGTGATCCAGAGGGGAGCAGAGAAAAGGGTGGAAATAGAAGCTGAGGACCAAGGGGTAGTATCTAGCACTCTTTTCTACCTTGATGGAATTTACAGAAACCAGGGACCTTCCATTGTCTTTTCACAATTACTCTCTCTTAAGTCCCTTAATTTTTAATGCCATCTTTTCTGTTTTATTTCTCCTATCACCATTCAAAAACCCATCCAGAGGGATGTATTTGCAGACATCTAATTGGGGTGGGAAAGTAGAGTGGAAAAAGAAAGAGGCAAGATGCAATGCAAATCAAATATATTCTGTTTCAGCGATGTATTTGAGTGAGTTGTATTCATGTAGAGATATTTGAGAATGTGAGAAAGGAAGGCAGATAGAGCCTGACTATCTCCAGAAGAGTCTGAATTTTGGCAGCTGGGAGTGGTTGGATGGGCACCTGTGGATTGGAGATTGGGTACAGAGTGAGCAAGGGTTAAAGACAAGGGCTCCCAGGGGCTCTGCGGCTCAGGGATGGGACATGACCCTACAGAGTGAGAGGAAGGCAGGCAGTGACCACACTCGGAGACAGCTGGAGGATTTGAGCAGAACAAGCTGCAACCTGATTGTCAAGTCAAAGTTGATATCAAGGCTGTTGGGAAAGAGAACTTGGAGTCAGCGTCTGAGATTGCTCCAGGGACTCTGACCATGTAAGCCTCAGCTGTTCTGATTTGAGGTGGCTTAGTATAGAGGAGAAGGAAATGGCAACCTACTCCAGTATTCTTGCCTGGAGAATCCCGTGGACAAAGGAGCCTGGTGGGCTGCTGTCCATAGGGTTCGCACAGAGTCGGACACGACTGAAGCAGCAGCAGCAGTGTTGAGGGGAGCCTTCTGTAACCAGAGGGCCCTGCTAGGATCATTTTATGGGGTTTCGAAGCTACTTCTGTGGATGGGTATGGAATTTTGTCAGACAAAGACTGATTTCCAAGGTCTCAAGAACCTTGTGGTTTAGCTCTTTCTCCAGGGCTCAAGTGAGATATTCTGCTGAGAGACAGATTGATTAGGAATCCAAGTTGTGGGAACAGCTCAGGAGTTTTTTCCCCTTTCTCTCCCTTCCTCTCATTCTCTCTCCCCTCCATCCTTCCTCTCTGCCTCCATTGTCTCCCTCCCTCCCTCTCCATTTCTTCCTTCCTTCCTCCCTTTGGAAGGGCTCTCTTTCCCACGTGGAAGGCTATTGAATCCTTGGGGACAGTGGTGCGCGGAGCCTGACAGGTCAGAGAGGTCAGGGCTGTAGGAGGAGGCACTGAGTGACGAGACTTCTCAATGGGAACAGCTCCTCAGCTTCCTTCAGCCTCCATCACACCCCAAAGGGCAGCCACCACAGGGCTCTCAGGCTCATTAGTTATTCCTTTCTTTTCAAGTTTTTTATAATTTAAAATTTTTGTGGCCATGCTGGGTCTTCAATACTGTGCGCAGGGTTTCTCTGGCTGTGGGATGTGGGGGCTGCGCTCCAGTTGTGCAGTGCGAGCTTCTCATGGCGGTGCCTCCTCTTATGTGAAGCATGGGCTCTCAGACTCCGTCTCAGCAGTTGTGGTCCGTGTTCTCAGTAGTTGTGGTGGACAGGCTTAGTTGCCCTGCGGCATGTGAAATCTCCCTGGAGCGGAGATGGAACCTGTGTCCCCTGCACTGGCAGGCAGGTTCTTAACCACTGAGCCACCAGGGAAGTCTTCACTAGTTATTCTCCATGGGGTTAAACAAGCTGGGTGGCTGTTTTTTTCCCTGCAGGGGTCAGGGCACTTTCACTGCTTATAGGTAGATAAGTGTCTGTAAGTTTGGGCTGTTGTTTCCAAGAAGGACCCCAAAGAGCATCAGCAGATCCATTGGCAGTGTTAGAAAACTGTCATCTCAGGAGCAGTGGTGTGCCCGATCTGTCCTTTTCACTTGTGAAGAATTAAACATTTTTCTACGCCAGTGATTTTCAAATTATTTTAGCCTTTACATTCTTTTTTTTCTTTCCTCCAAATGAAATCTTACTTGGAAATTCCATGCAAAAATTAAATCGAACAGGAACTGTTCGAATTGACTAAGTGGTCAAGTTCAGATACTTATATATTCACCCCCTCACTCCGTTGAATTACATCCAAAATTTGTCTAGAATTTTAAAACACTGTATTATGTGTTTTTAAAGCTGGTTATTACTCTTACTCAGTTTTAAGGGGAAAGAAACTAAGGCATGAAGGGACTAAAGGACTTTGCCAAGACCATGCTATAAGCTTGAATCAGTCAGAAACTGGACTCAGCTGATCTGAAGATTGGTCTAAATAAGGCTTTCTTTTCTTCTCATCTAACAAGTAGTCAGTATAGGGCTGATGTGGTGGTGCCATGAGGTTTAGGGGGGCCCAAACTCCTGGCAGCTTGCCATCCACAGTCCCAGGCATAGACCCTCATCTCTTGTTTACAGTATGGCTTCCGGACCTCCAGCCGTCTGATTAGCATCTGGAAGATATAGAAAGAGGAAAGACAGTCCCTGTAATGGGGTCTTTCTGGAAAGCCTCCGTCACTGTTACATTTCAAGCAAGTCATAAAAAGTTTTAGGCTGGGAATCCTGTCATTCCCAGCAATGAAGGGGCTCTGCCAGTGATGAAGGGGAGAGTCTACACCGGGCGGGGAACTAATAGTCTGCCACAGATATGATGCCCAAACCCTCTAAGTGAGCACATATCCTGGTTCATCCTGCTTGCAGACAGTCTGCTGACAAAGTTAATATTTTAGCATCTAAATGTATGCTTTTTCTGTTCAGAAAAGGCTCAGTTATCCTTTGTTAAGTTCACATTTTTAATTTAGAAAATGAAATACCCTAATAAATAAAATAACCTAATTTGATGGGAAGCCATCATTGCCTGTGATGTGACGTGGAGGAGATACTTGACATGAACTAAGAACTGGATTCAGCTCCACCCCTTAGACAGGCCCCTTCATTCTCCAGGCTGTTTCCCCTTCAATAAAAAGAGGAAATTAGACCGACAAGCACTGTGAACACTTCCAAGTCAAGCGTTCTGCTATGATACTATGTCTGCTGCTCCTGTCCCCTTTCCTCTGTCCTCACTTGGATTGGAATGTGACCAACCAGTGCTGCCAGTTGCTGGGCGAGAACTCATAGAAGTCATCTGTCCCTTTTCTTCTACCAGAAAGAACCATAATATAAACCAGCCTGTTTTAAGTGTCGCTGAAGAAGGTTTGTTTTCTAGACCTTAGAAAGTTGTCCTAATGTAGGTCTTCACCTAAAATGCTTCCAGCTGTAATTTATCTCCTGTTTGCTCTTGCTTTATTGATCATGTGATTCGTGTCTGTTGTTTATAGGAAAACCTCAGACAAAATCAGAATTGCCATAGGATATAAAACATTTTCCAAAGGAAGATGTGGGATCCAGATTGTGCATTGTCTGTCCATGAGTTTACTTATTAGCTCATCCAGTCAATTAAAAAACCTGGGTGTCCGCTATGTGTAAATCACTGCATGGAAGAGATGGGCTTCCACTCTTACCTGATCAATGTGGCTGATAAAAGTGCTCTTGTGTGCCTCTCTCTGTCCCATGTGCATCACATTCTCATCTGATCTTCACAACAACCATATGATGTAGGCATTTATCATGGGATTCTCTTGCTTTTGTCTGCCTCCTTTTGGCTGGAGAGGCTGCACAATCCCCCCTCCCCAATCATTTATTTACTTAATTTTGGGGACATCTATTATGTGCTAGGCATCAGGGATATGACTGAACAAAACAGGAAGGATTTATCTGACAGACCCATCAATCTGTTAATCATAGTGCCTGATCGTCTCTCTCTCTCTCTCTCTCTCTCTCAACTGATTGGGCCAGGGACTGGGAGCATGACCCAAGTAGGGCTGGTTAGCTTTATACTGTGTCACATGATCCAGTTCTGGTTGCTGAAAAAGAGAGCTTCTCTTTATTCATTTGAGCCTTAGATTCAGATTTGAGCCTTAGTTCTCTTTATACTGTTACACTTGCCAGTTTCATAAGCAAATAAAATCATTTTCAGCTTAAGCTATTAGCTTGAACCACATAAAATTGCCATTTTTGCAGACTGGATATCAACAATTTCATCTGATTTACCTTAATGACTTGATTTTCTGCTGCCTGCAATTGAAGGAATCCTGACAAATATGGTAGTATCATTACCTCCAGCTTAGATGAGGAAATTGAGGCTCAGAATATTTATTAGCCCAAGGTCATTCAGCAACTCAGCATAGTGAGAACTGAATCCCAGGTGACTTCAAAGTCTATGTTCTCAGTTGCCCTGGTATGAATCCCATGAAGTCAGACAAGGGCTGAAGGGAAGAGACTGCTACTCCAGGATGGTCTGCAGACTGTACTGCGGGTTCTCGAGGAGGTAAGACGTGCTGCGCCAGGAGGTGACCCAGCGTGTCACTAGCACACTCTTTAGTTCCGCTGACAATTTTCAATAGCAAGGTCTTCAGGGAAGTAAGCAATGTGTTGATTTGGATTCTGGTGCCTGCTCCTTAAACAGTACCCTCGTGGACTGGCCTCACACTGTTCGGGGACCAGCAGTTGGAGGAGTGCTGGTGTAGAGGACCCTTGGGTTGTGCCCAGTGGCCAGCCATCCTCCAGTCTCTTGGGACTGGCACAGAAGCCCTGTCTATGCCATGTGGTCCTCACCCTCTCTTTGTTAGTCATAACTGATTTCTTCAGGTCATTTGTTTGAGCCCAGTTAGACCAACTGGATTTTTTTGGTCTAACAGTATGGAATCTTAAAAAAGAACGGAACCAAGAGATGTTAAGTCTTTGAGCTACCAAAACCAGGAGAATAAGTCTAGAAATTTGTGTTTTCATGTCTCTGGCTGTGGTTCTTGCACTTCTGAGGTGTACCTTGTCAAGTTTTCCTTACCTTTTATAAGATTGCTAATATCCTTTCAAGTAAATATCCTTTCGTCTTAAGCTAGCTAGAATTAGTTTCAAAAGAACCTTAAGTTATATTGTTGAAAAATATAGGGAAGACCACATGTTCATGATTTAGGATCCTGTTTGTAATTTCAGTTATTTGCTAGACTATATGAGAGTGTCCCTAACAATTCTAGGTTTCAGTATCAGCTGAAAATGTTGCTATCTGAGCTGGGGCACGGCTGTGACATGGAAACAAAGATGTACATCATCAATTACCCTTGGTAACTAAAGACTGATACAGACTGAACATCTAAATTAAAGTAAATAAATAATCAACCTTTGTTAGTTTAGCTATAGATAAATAGAACCTAAATGAATGAACTGACTCATTGCTAACATTAGAAACATGACTACTTTGGGGCTATAGCACTGACATCAGCCATCTAGCTGGCTTTAAAAGAAGAATGACTGTTTGTTCTGGGAAAACAAGCATCATCTCAACCAGCTTAGTTCAAACAACAGGTTCCTGAATTCAGTTGGTTTGGGGAAAAAATATGATGGATACACCAGCTGACCATATCTTTTTAGATATAATATTTGATTAAAAAATAATATTTGGATAGCTTCTGAGATCATCTCACTATTTGAAATTGCAAGTCCTATTAGAGGCAGCTCCTTCTGGGTTGGTGAAAGAAGCAGTGAAAAATGGAAGTTTGAACACGCATCTTTAGCAGCTGGAAGGGGCTGCCTGGAGTGATGGCAGAAGGAGGAAGGGAGCAAACACAGCATGCCTGCTGCTGTTACTGCAACAGAGGAAAAACAGCACTGGATGGGTGCTGGGAGAGGCTTCGTAAGCTCGATACTTTCATCATGCATTTCTGAATCCTGACAATTATCTCTTATATGTTCACCTAGAACCTCTGCGATCTTGGTTTTGAATGGTTTAATCTATTTTAAAGGGTATCCAGATGTGATCAAGATAATCCTTATATTCTTTCGCTCTTCCTATTTAAACACCGAAGCGCTTAGAGTCATAGACATCTTTTCCCGCATAGCCAAGAGGTTCACCTACAAATGCTTTCTGTATAGAAAAGAAACTTGAACCTGAGATACAAATATCTAATTCCTTATGTTTAAAACCTCTTCTTAGACAGTTTCTGTTTAAAATCCAGTGATTTATATGCAGAGTTCTTTTTTTCTTAATTGTATTGCTGGACATATATTAGATATAATCTATAAGACTCTCAACATGATATCCTATATCCAATATTTTTATTGTACTAAATTTCAGGGCTAATTTAAGTCTAAACTCTTTATTTTAGAAAATCAGTAACAGCAACTAATTAGCACATCTCATTCTGGATGTATTTGCCAACCAATTTCAGAGACTCATTTGCCTGTTAAGAGATTTTATTGAACACCAGCACCACAGTCTCTCCTTTTTTTCTAGTAAACAGCTCATGCTTATTATCTTATTACAGGAATGCCACTGGTTAAATCAGGCTCTGAATATAAATAGCCATATTACTGCCATCAGGCATCAATGTTTATTTAGTGGCTGTGAGTCATGCATACCTCTTTGATCGGGTTTGGAATGAGCTGTTGCAGTTTTTGTTCAAAAAGGTTATTTGCAAAGGCTACAGAAGTATCAGTTAGATTAAACATGAAATTAATCAGTGTGGAATTTTATCAGCCATTTCTGCCACCAAACACCAGGTGTCAAGAGCATGTGCAAATGAGGGCTGAACATAATGAAGCTGGGGGACAGCTTGGTAGGGAGATCAGAAAGGATTCCAAGAGGTGTACCATGCTCAGAGACGAAAGATGGAGGGAGCGAGAGAGGGAGGGAGGAAGGAAGGAAACGTTGGAAGCGTAGTAAATCATCTGGAACTCCTTGGCAGTTTCATATAGCATATCATATATCCCAGTATATGGAATGCAAGTCAGATGAATCGAATTAACCTGAGCTCTGCCCTGCCCACTGATCTTTGGAAAATTACTTAATGCATACACATAATGCATAGCGTACATGAATTACAAAGCTACATACATAACGTAATACATATACATATATATTTGTATATGTACACAACCCACTTGCCAATGCAGGAGACATAGAGAGATGTGGGTTCGATCCCTGGGTTGAGAAGATCCCCTGCAGGAGGGCATGGCAACCCAGTCTAGTATTCTTGCCTGGAGAATCCCTTAGACAGAGGAGTCTGGCAGGCTACTGTCCATGGGGTTGCAAAGAGTCAGACATGACTGAAGCAACTTAGCATATATACACAGACACATATAACATATATATGTCTTTAGATTAAGCATGTCTTTAGACTAAAAATATCAGAGAGAGATTGACCCAAGATATCTTTCAGATGGTTTTAGTTGATGAAACTCTTTTGGTGGAGGAGTCTTTCAACTAGAGGGCTTACTCAAACTGGGTCCATCCATTTGTCCAGCATTGAGTGGGTACACCAGCTTGTAGGCACATGTGCTGAGAGAGGCCTGTGAATAATTATAACATACAATGTTTAGTACTATGATGACTGCCACCATAAATTCCTGGTGACCTCATTCTCAGCCTGGACTTCATCACTGCTCAGCAGTTCTATAGCATTCTACTGAGTGCTTCTCCCAGCCAATGTCCCCACTGCCTATTTCTAACATTCCCCACTCTCATCGAGCTTCTGACTCTTAGTTTCCAGTTCCTCTTTCTCTCAGTAGATGATCTGACCTTCCCTACAGTGAAAATAAATTTTACCTACATTCACACTTATATTCTCCGTCTCCCTCATTCTCTTCACAGGGAATGCCTTTCCTCTTAGACAATTGTTATACCTCTGATTTGGATGCCATTTCTTTTCAGTCGTTTCTTCATCCAGAATCTTCCATTCTTTCCTCTCAACTAGCTCTTTCTCATTAGCAGATAAAAATGCTTAGTCTTTCTAAATTTAGAAAACCCTCCTTTGAAGAATTACAGAACCAACTGGAAAACAAGGTTTAAAATGGCAATAAGTACATATATGTCAATAATTACTTTAAATGTCAATAGCCTAATTTTGTGATCAAAAGCCATAGGATGGTATGTGTGAGTGCTAAGTTGCTTCAGTTGTGTCTGACTCTTTGTGACCCTATGAACTGTAGCCCCCCAAACTCCTCTGTCCATTAGGATTCTCTAGGCAAGAATACTGGAGTGAGTTGCCATGCCCTCCTCCAGGGGATCTTCCCAACCCAGGGAATGAACTTGCGTCTCCTGGGTCTCCTGCAATGGGCAAGCAGGTTCTTCACCATTAGGCTACCTGGGAAGCCCCATCGAGTGGCAGATGGGATTAAAAGACAAGAAACTACAATCTGCTGCCTACAAGAGACTCACTTTAAGGTAAAAATGAAACTGAAAGTGAGGGGATGGAAAAAGATATTTGATGCAAATAGAAACAGGAAAGTGGGGGTAGCAATACTCATATCAGAAAAATAGACTTTAAACAAAACCCATAAAGAAAGATAAAGAAGGACAGTATATAATGATAAAAGAATCAATACAAGAAGAGGATCTTATACTTGTTAACATCTATGCACCCAATATAGGAGCACCTAAATATATAAAACAGATATTAACAGACATAAAGGAAGAAATCGATAGGAATATAATAACAGTGGTAGATTTTAACACCTCACTGACATCAATGGACAGATCTTCCAGACAGTAAATCAATAAGGCAACAGAGCTCCTAAATGATGCAATAGAACAATTAGACTTAATTGGTGTCTATAAGATACTACATACAAAAAAACCCAGAATACACATTCTTTTTAAGTTTGGATGGAATGTTCTCTCGGACAGACCACATATTAGGTTACAAAAACAAGTCTCAATAAATTTAAGAGGACAGAAATTATTTCAAACATCTTTTCTGACCACAAGAGTATGAAATTAGAAGTCAATCACAGAAGGAAAAACAGAAAGAGAACAAATACATGGAGACTAAGTCACATGCTACTTAAAAACCAGTGGGTCAACAATAACAGAAGAAATCAGAGAATACCTGAAGACAAATGACAGTGAAAATACAACCTTACAAAATCTACGGAATGCAGCAAAAGCAGATCTAAGAGGGAAGTTCATAGTAATACAGGCCTTCTTCAAGAAACAAGAAAAATCTCAAGTAAGCTACCTAGTCTACCACCAAAAAGAATTCAAAATAGAAGAACAAATAAAACTCAAATTCAGCAGAAGGAAAAAATAATAAAGATCAGAGAGGAAAAAAATTATATAGAGACCAGAAAAAAATAATTAAAAAGATCAATAAAACCAAGAACTGTTCTTTTAAAAAGTTAAACAATTTGAAAAACCTCTAGTCAGGCTCACCAAGAAGAAATGAAAGAGAAGAAATAACATCTGACACTGCAGAATTACAAAAAATCATAAGAGAATACTCTGAATAGTTGTATGCCAACAAATTGGACAACCTAGAAGAATCAGACAAGTTTCTGGAAACATACAGCCTACCAAAACTGAGATAACAAGAAATGAATCATTTGAATAGACCAACTACTAGAAGTGAAATTTAATCTGTAGTAATAATTAAAATAGAAACTCCCTGCAGACAAGAGTCCCAGACCAACTGAATAGGTTCATTGGGGAATTCTACCAAACATACAAAGAACGTATACTTATCCTTCTCAAATTCTTCCTAACAATCAAAAAAGAGGGAACACTCCCAAATTTATTCTGTGAAGCCACCATCACCCACCCTGATACCTAAACATTACAAAAGTAAGAAAAAAAAATTATAGGCCAATATCTTTCATGAGTACAGATGCAAAAATCATCAAAAAAATATTTGGAAACCAAGTCCAACAGCACATAAAAAGGATCATACACCATGATAACGTTGGATTCATCTAGGGTCACAAGGATAGTTCAACATATGCAAATCAATCATATGATACACCACATGAACAAAAGGAAAGACAAAAAACACATGATCATCTCAATAGATGCAGAAAAAGGATCTGACAAAATTCAACATCCATTCTTATTAAAAACTTACCAAAATGGGTATAGCGAGAAAATAGTTCAACATAATAAAAGGCATTTATGACATACCCATAGCCAACTTAATACTCAGTGGTGAAAAACTGAAAGCCTTCCTGCTGTATTTGGGAACAAAACAAGGATACCCACTCCTGCCACTTCTATTCAACATAGTAATGGAAGTCCTAGCCACAGCAATCAGATAAGAGAAAGAAAAGTATACAAAGTGGAAGAGAAGAGGTAAAACTATCACTTTTTGAAGGTGACATGATACTCTATAAAAAACCTTAAAGTTTCCACCCCAAAACTATTTGAACTAATGAATTCAGCAAGGTAGCAAGATACAAGATTAATATACAGAAAGCTGTTGCATTTCTTTACACTAATGATGTAATATCAGGAAGTAAAACAGCCTGATTTAAAATCACATCAAAAAAAGAAAATATCTAGGAATAAACTTATCCAAGAAGGTAAAAGATCTATACACTGAAAACTGTAAAACACTGATAAATTGAAGATGATTCAAAGAAATGGAAAGATAATGCCATACTCTTTGATAGGAAGAATTCATATTGTTAAAATGGTTATATTACTCAAAGCAGTCAACAGATTGGAACAACAAAAGACCTAGGATTGCCAAGGTAGTCCCAAGTTAAAAGAACAAAACCAGAGGCATAACCCTCCCAGACTTCAGATTATACTACAAAGCTACAGGAAGCAAAACAGTGTGCTATTGACACAAAAACAGACATACAGATCAACGAAACAGAATAGAGATCCCAGAAATAAACCCACACTTAATGTTCAATTAATCTCTAACAAAGGAGGTAAGAATATACAATGGAGAAAAGAGTCTTTTCAACAAGCGCTGGGAAAGCTAAACAACTACATGTAAATCAAATAGAACACTCCCTCACAGCATATACAAAAACAAATTCAAATGGTTTAAAGGCCTAAATATAAGACATGCCAATACAACATTGTAAATCAATTATACTTTAATAAAATAAATTAACAAAAATGAGACATGACACCAAAAAGACATGATAATCAAAACATTCTTAGACATTAATTATAGCAATATTTTCTTAGATCCATCTCCCAAAGCAATAGAAATAAAAGCAAAAATAAACAAATGGGACATAAAGGGTTTTGCATAGCAAGGGAAGCCATTAGCAAAATGAAAAGACAAGGTATGGAATAAGAGAGAATATTTGCAAGCGGTGTGACCAATAAGGGGTTAATACCACAATTATAGAAACAGCTCATACAACTCAATGTTGAAAAAATACACAACCCAATCAATAAATGGACAGAAGGTCTGAAAAAATATTTCTCCAAAGAAGATATACATATGGTCAACAGTAATATGAAAAGATGCTCAACATCACTAATTATTAGAGAAATGCAACTCAAAACCCACAATGAGGTATCACTTCACACTAGTCAGAATAGCTATCATCAAAAGTCTACAAATAATAAATTCTAGAGAGGGTGTGCAGGAAAGGAAACCCTCCTCCACTATTGGTGCAGCCACTACGAAGCAGTATAGGGTTTTCTAAAAAAAGCTAAAAATAGAGCTACCTTATCATCCAGCAATCCCACTCCTGGTTATATATCCAGAAAGGACAAAAACTCTAATTTGAAAGGAGACGTGCACTCTAATGTTCATAGCCACACTATTTTACAATAGCCAAGATATGGAAACAGCCCAAGTGCCCTTCAGTAGACAACTGGCTTAAGAAGATGTGGTATGAAGTAAAATATTTCCCAGCCAGGCTGAAAGAGCTCAGGAAGCTAGCTGGCCTTGTTGGCCCTTAAATCGCATACTGAATGGCCTGGCCCCAGCTGCCCTCGCCGAACCGCGCAAAGAAGGATGCTCCTGGCTCTCGTCGGCTTCCCAGGTCTGCTTGCTTTCTTTTCCCGAAGGTGGACCCTTACATTCACCGTCCGGAGCCTGCGGCCGCCGGGAAAGCCAAACCCCCATGTCCGGAGAGTAACCGGAAGTGCCCTCCCAGGCGGAGGGGTAGCGCCGGCTGCAGCCGGGGAGAGGTAAGAATTGAGTATTAATAACTATGGACTGGAGACCTTTTGGAGCCAAAAGGAAGACAGTCTTGAGTCTTTCTTGTTATGGGTTGTAAATACCACATAAAGAATGAGTGCATGTGATGCTGGAAACTTGTAGAGAAGAACTACCCATGACTGAAAGGCCTAAAACAGATGTATCTTTCGAGTTCTTATCGAGAAAATGACTATGAAGAAAATAATGGGTCAGGAAGACCAGTGGAAAACTCCCTAGGAGAAAGCCATGGAAAATGTACGCTTCAGAAGAGAGATATAATCAGAGAACTCAAAAAAGGAAAATATATCATGTATGCCCTCAGAAGGGTAAAAAGATTTTTATTCATGTGCATGAGATTATTCAAATAGATGGTCAGATATACCAGTGCCTTGAACGTGAGCAAAACTTTTGTGAGAACTTAGCTCTTATTATGTGTGAGAGAACCCACACTGGGGGGAGAAACCTTATAGATGTGATATGTATGAGAAAACCTTCATCCACAGCTCCGATCTAATTTCACATCAGAGGATCCACAGTTATGAGAAACCTTATAAATGTAGCAAATGTGAGAAGAGCTTTTGGCACCACTTAGCCCTTTCAGGACACCAGAGAATGCGTGCAGGTAAAAAATTCTATACATGTGATATCTGTGGCAAGAATTTTGGTCAGAGCTCTGATCTGCTTGTCCACCAGCGAAGCCATACAGGCGAGAAACCTTATCTCGTGTAGTGAGTGTGATAAATGCTTCAGCCGAAGTACAAACCTCATAAGCACCGAAGAACTCACATGGGTGAGAAACCATTTAAGTGTCTGGAGTGTGAAAAAGCTTTTAGTGGGAAATCCGATCTTATTAGCCACCAGAGAACTCATACTGGTGAAAGACCCTACAAATGTAGTAAGTGTGAGAAAAGTTACCGACACTGGTCAGCCTTCATTGTTCATAAGAGAGTACATACTGGGGAGAAGCCTTATAAGTGTGGTGCCTGTGAGAAGTGCTTTGGCCAGAAATCAGACCTTATTGTCCACCAGAGAGTCCACACAGGTGAGAAGCCGTATAAATGCTTGGAATGTATGAGAAGTTTTACCCTGAGTGCCAACTTCATCAGGCACCAGGCAGCTCACACTCACACTTTTAAATGCCTTGAATATGAGAAGAGCTTCAGCTGTAGTTCAGACCTCATTGTACATCAAAGAATTCACACGGAAGAGAAACCGCATCAGTGGTCTGCATGTGAGAGTGGCTTCCTCCTAGGCATGGACTTCGTTGCCCAACAGAAAATGAGAACTCAGACAGTGGAGCTGCATTATAAATACAGTGTCTGTGATAAAAGCTTTCACCAGAGCTCAGCCCTTCTTCAACATCAGACAATCCACATCGGTGAAAAACCATATATCTGTAATGTGGCTGAGAAAGGTCTTGAGCTCAGCCCTCCCCATGTATCAGAAGCCTCACAGATGTCTTGACCAGACAAGAAGTTATTATACCATAAACAAACAAACAAAAAAAGATGTATTTACAATGTAAGAAAACTCATTTAAGATGGAGAACTCAAAGCAAATCTCGATTTTCCTCAGAGCTCAGACTTTATTGGGGACCAGAAAATCTGCAGTTATAGGAACTTGAGAAATGGTTTGACCAGAGAGCTGTTTTTACAGAACCGTATCAATCACTCCAGTGAGAAACCTTAAAAATGCCCTGAGTTTTTTGAAAACCTTCAGTCCAAGCTCATGTCTGATCACCCACAAGAGGAATTATACAGGTGGGAAACTTACAAGTTCGGTGAATGTGAGAAAGCTCTTTAGCAATGCTCACTTCTCCTCATTCCAAGAGAATTCAGAACTGAGGATGATATTTTTTTAACGCCCTGTGAAACAGTGCTTCAGACAGTATGCATGCCTCATTGGACGTCAGAAAGCCCCACTGGAAAGAAACCCCAACAGTTGTGAAAAAAGCCTCAACATAACTGTGACTTTATTACCTATCAGAGAAGCCATACAGGTGAAAATTTGTGTATTTGCCTTGAATATGGCAAAAGCATTAAGTGGAGAGCCTTCTTGGGTTTGCAACCCCCCTCCCTCCAAAGAAGAAAATCTGATGAAGGACCTTATGAATTCTCTGAATGAGAAAACTTCTGTCAATGATCAGTTCTTGTACACCAGGGAACTTGTATAAGTGAAAGACCCTATAAATAACCCTAAGTCTGGGGGAGAAAAAAAATTCCTTGCAGGAAATCTCTACCATTGGGCCCCAAAGAAACTACCCTGGAGAGCGTTTTGTAGACCTCTATAGAGGTCTAACTGTGAACTGTGTGCATTTAACAGGTATGAGAAGAACTGTTCTCATAGTTAGTTGACCCCTGTAGTAGAGATGACTTTTAATGGAGTTGACATGCAAACAGTTTTGTTTAGATACCCAGAAACTTGTTCTGGGAAGAGCTAGGGCAAGTCAGAGTAGGCCTGATGGGTAACTCAGGTAAAGATGCTTTTCTTTTATCTGAACCACTGAATGATTGCTTTATTTTCAGTTTTTAAAATTTGGAACTCCAATAAAAGAAAGGACTGTAATTGAGGGAAAAAAAAAAAGAATCTTCTCAGCTTCTACTCTGTGTTGTGTAATGTTCTCTGGGAGACTTTGATACACAGATTTGCATGCAGGTGGCCACTCTTAGAAACCACCCTGGGAGTGGGATGAAGGAGACAGGACTGGCAGTGTGGTTTCATATTGACATCATCCAGTTCTAGGAAACTCTGAGCTGGGATGACCTTGCAGAAATGACCTGAACTGAGGCAAAGAGGACAGGCCTTTGCAATCCCACATCAATCTGTCACTGCATGCAGATGATAGGTGCATAGACTTGGGTAAGTTAGTTTCCTCTGATAGTAGGTCATTCTTGAAGAGGAATTTGGCCATGGCCACCAGCAGGCAACAATTCTGATGGCTGGGGGAGTGAGTGCTTCATTCCCAGAGAGGGCTTCTGGGGGGCACACCCTAGAACACACTGTGTGCTCACTACCTGGTCTTCTCTAACCTGGCTTTTCTCTCTCTTGAGCTCTAGACTCTGTCAACATTCAACTGCCTGTTGGAGATTTCCATATGGACATCTCTTAAGAGCCAGTGAAACTATTCAAAATGGAATTCTCACCTCCTACCTCTCCACACATTCCTTCCTTAGGGTTTGTTTGTTTTGGTAAACAGAAGACAGGAGATAACTTGTGAGATGAAGTCCCTCTTTTTCTTTCTGTGGATTGCTTCAGGTTATGTTTGTCCTTTGTAGCTCTTGTAAGGAGTCCTGTGTGAAAAAAAAAAAAGTACTACTGAGTGACCCACTATCTCTCTATGTTCTGTCATGAACCAGGAGCCACGGTGGCCATGCAACACACTGTCATTGCATAGCTGTCTTGGTTCGCTTCCCTTTTTCCTCATCCTCAATTCTTTGGGGTTGCATCTAGCAAATCAATTGCTGTGGCCTTAACTCTGGTCTCAGGCCTTGCATTTTGAGGAGCTGGGAAAAGATACCACCTTTCCCCTAATGTCCTATTTCCAGTGGTCATATCAATTCTCACTTCTGAGTAACTCTTCAGTCTGTCCTTTCTTCAACACCTCTGTCGCCACTGCCCTAGATCAGGCACTGTGAAGTCCGCCTGGATCATGACATCAGCCTCCTAATTGTTCCTAGGCATGCTTTCCTATATGCTATGCACCGCTCAGTAGCCTGACACTTAGTAAGAACTTAATAAATGTTGGTTGCAAGAGTGAAGGAATAACTGAACAGGTGTATCACAGGGTGCTGCGTATTGTAACTGGGCTACCTTAGAAAAGAAAACACTGATGTATGTTAAGAAGAGTTTTTCGTAGCTTGTGATAGCCCACACACTTCCTTTCTTCCTCTATGCTTGTTCTTCCACAATTTCATGAGTTCTTAGGAGGCTTCAGTGAGTATTGCATGTGAAGATCTTTGAGCTGTGCTTAGGAACATATTAAGCACAAAATAAGTTTCAGCTATCATATCATCCTCATTATTATCTGCTCTTGAATGTTTTTTCTATTTCCTTTCCCCCTTCTTCTGAGGGTTAAAATAGTTTAAAAATATTTCATTCAAAATTGAATAAATTCCATTTTCTGTATATATTTTGTTTCTCCAAATACAATAGAAATCTTAAGTGGTCATCAGCCTAAAAACGTACTGTTGAAAGAGTTATTTAGTATTTGAGCAATATATTTTTGTGGATACAAAAGAGAACTTAAACCTTGAGATTTAAAAATTATTCTTCAATTTAGAGAAGTTAAAAAATAAAAATAAATCTACTTTTCCTGAAGCATTCAAGTTCAAATTACATTTCTTATTTTATTAATAAACATAATAAATCCAGGGGGTTATTTGATTATTTGATTGAGTAGCTGAATAGGCCAAATTGCCTTAAACTGTTTGTCTTGTTTATATCTTAATTTACGAAATTCCCTTGAACATCTTAGGCTTTATTTATAATTGACTAAATTTCATTTTTTTAAAGCACTTTGACTGCCTAACCTACCTATCCAAACCTTCCCATTCTAATAAATCTAATTAAATTAATGAATATGGTGCTCTCAAGTTAATCATGTACGCTCCAATTTTGTTTACAAACTTTGCATAATTCTCTTTATCTTTCAGTTGAAAATCTAAGTCTAAAATTAACTCAGTTATATGTTTTAAGTCCATGGGATTGCAAAGTTGGATACGACTGAGCGACTGAAAAACAACTACATTTTAAGTTAGAATGAAAGTCCAAATCTATCAAATTTCCTAAAATTTCTTAAAAGTACCAAATACTTAAAATATAAAATATACAGAGATCATTCCTAACTGTCTGAAAAAAAACATTCACAGCATGGTTTGGTTTATTTCATCTTCTCTATAATTTTAAACATTCCAGAGTTTACAGTTTTTACTGTTTCAAGCACGTTCAGGTTGCTTTTGACTGAGAGTTTTGGCTGGGAAAGTTGTAAGTT